AATTTAAAAGAAAAAACCTTAAATCTTAACCCAACCACCTCTATGTCACAAAATCGAATCAACAACTTTTACAAAATTTCCAAAAGAAATCACTACAAAGCGGTTTAGTTAGCTTGGGTCAATTTTTTTTTATTTAATTAATTAATTTATTTTGATATCTCAAAAGACCCAAAAAGAGAGCGATATTTAAACTTTTTCAACATTAGACAGTATTCTTAAACGTAGTTTAATAAAAGATGTAATATCACCGGAATATAATTAAGATGAGATACTAATTTTTATTTTTACTAATTTTTTATATTTAAAAATTATATTAAGTTTTGATTAATTCAAAATTAAGTTAAACCAAATTTTATAAAAAAAAAATTTCAGTATTTTTTTATTTATAAAATTTAAATTTAATATTTTATTTTAAAAAATTAAATTCATTTCACTCAAATTAATAAATAATTAGTAGATGAGAGACCAATAATACAATTATTTTATTATTATTTTATTTTTACCTCGAAATTTTATTAATCAATTGATATATATTTCACATATAATACTAACAGTAGTACTGTATAGTGTAGGTTTTTTTGGTGATGAAATTTGAGAAATTCTCAGAGGAATAGAATTCTATTAAGTTATCCAATATTCCATTTTTTAATCTCCTGCGTGACATCTGACAATTTATATGCGTAGATTTGGTACATAAATTACTACCACCATTAAAAGAGAACAAATGAGAGACATGGATGACATTGGAAACGAATTGAAGAGTGATTTGCCTTCTCTTTCTTTTTGTATTTTAGTAACATGCTGATTTGGACTTCTCTTATTATTAGTCATTTCATAACCACAAAAATATTCTTTCCATTTCATGCCACTCGATGCATACATGGTAAAACATTTCTTTATTTTATATGTATACACATATATATATGTATATTAAAAATTTATTTATATAAAAATTTTATATATTATATTTATATAAAATTTTAATTATCTATTATTTATTTGTAATTATTAAATTTTATTTATTTTTATTAAATTTATTAAAAATATTTATTTTTTACTTAAAAAGTTATAATAAATCATAACTATTACAAATAAAAAGATAAATTATTAAAATTTTGTGTAAGTGTAACATGTAAAATTTATGTATAAGTAGATCTTTTCTCATATATATATAAGAATATATTTAACAGTTCAAATTACACCAAACTGTAAAATAAGAATCATTAGATAAGAAGAGAGCCTTCAATATCAAGGGATCTAATCTTATCAAATGATTAATATAATACAGTTTAGTACAATTCAAACTGTATTATATTTTTTCATATATATATAGAGAAAGAAAAGTAATATTTTTCTATTAAATAGAAATTAACTTTTTTTGGACCAATTATTGTAATCTAGTGGTAATGATAATGATATGGTTACAATGTTATGTATAATTATAAGTATATAATTATGATTTATTATTAAATAAGTAGATGAATAAAATATCAAAAATAAACTCTTAAATGAAAATAGTCAACTATATAATAATATATTATAATTGTAAATTTACAATATCATATAATAGTACAACTATATCATTTTCATACTTATAATCTTCTTTTAGTGAAGGATAATGATAAACAAGATGAAAATTTTGAAACTAACAACATTACACAAGCGTGCTTTAAAATATTAAAAGATGGGCAAAAACTTACTTTTTTTCCTTTATTTTAATAAATTTGTAAGTTTTAGCCAATCACATTATATTATGACATTTTTTACCCTTTGCCTTAATAAATTTATAAGTTTTAACCCTTCACTTTATAACATGACACTTCTAGCCTCCACATATATGAATTGAAGAAAATAGCATTCATTTAACATCAGGATATAACGTTCTGTTACTTAACTGTCAGCTCTGTTAATTGACTGTCAGCATCAGTTAACATTCTGTTATAGAAAACATGAAATTTAAATTTAATTCTATTTGTTAATTTCGTTAACGGAATGCTAGCATTCAACTAACAGAGTTAACAATCAGCTAACTAAACTAATAGAATGTTATAACATGATTTTAGGTAAAGGTTATTTTTTTTCAATTCATATAGATGATGAGCTAAAAGTGTCATGATATAGGGTGAGAGGTTAAAAACTACAAACTTATTAAGGTAAAGAGTTAAAAGTATCATAGTATAAGGTGAATAGTTAAAACCTATAAACTTATTAAGATAAAGGGCTAAAAGTAGGTTTTAGTGTTAAAAGATGAATCAAATATCATTTAATAATTAATTTCTTTTACTTTTTTTAAATTTATAATATTATATATGTTAACTTATTTTAAAATATTATTTATACCATGTATATTATTGCTCCTAAATTTTTGTACTCTATATCACTATTCTTTAGAGAAAGTAAGAGGTCAAATAAGAGGTCATTCGAGTGAAATGGGTAAAATAAAGAAACAGAGACTTAGTTTTTATTATGTAATTTAGAGCCCTGTATAATGGTTAAAATTTAACAGATAATAAGTAGTAGGTAGCAAATAGTATATAATAATAGTGGGTAGCAAATGGTGAATAGTAAAAAATAAGTAATAGATAATAAATAATGAATTCGATTAATATAATTATTTAGTTATTTAATAG